ATATGAAGCTCTGATGATTGATCGAATGAACGAAAAAAAAAGTGGAAGATAGCAGAGGAGGGACCGGTGAGCTGGTGGGACGCTTTCTGGGTGAAGTCAAAAAATAAGGAAGGCAAACGGGTAGGGGCTGTTTGTCTACGCCTTCTTAGGAAAAGCGTGCAGTGGTACGCAGGAGACATAACTGACGCTTCTTGTAATGTGAAATGAAAGCGTAGAAAATCTGCGTGCTAACTGCTCATCACGTAACAGTCCATTAATGTTTACAAAATTTCTGCAACATTGTAATTGCCTTACTGCAAGGTGTCGCACATGCAAAGTCAACATTTATGAAATGAAAGGCAAAGACAGAATTATGAATATAAAAATAGTATTATACCCACTACGCATTTAGGACAATGTGACTGTGGCGAGCAGATGAAAATGTACATGTCATAATATGCACCTGTCATAAGTCACAACGATGAAAGCGAGACATTATTATCGGCTACGTTTACTAGTTCTTTGGGTTGTTCGTTCAATTCTCTAATTGCTGTTAAAACAGAAGGTTTAACGAAACTATAGTAGTTTTGCAAGAGTATTCCTTAAGTTACTTTATACGTCATTTTTTAGAGTATCGGCTGTTTTTTATGTTTCTAAAGATTTTTTTCAGGTATATGCAAGATAACCCATTTTCTAGTAGTTATCGGTGCATGAGCATAAACGGTAGATACAAGCTCGCTTCTTATGGCCGTTCACAGGCATATGATAACGCGCTCTCTACGGTGGCTACATATCTCATTTCACTGTAGGTAGTAAGAAACTCCCTTGCTCTGCTTGGTTAGTGTACCGCAGACGTTTTCGAAAGTGTGATATTATCTTTTTGTTGTTGTTGTTATTCTGGCAATCTGGCGATTCGCGAAGACACAGTACATTTGCTCACTACGAAACACATCAGATGAAAATGTTTCATTAGATGTGTGAAATGGCTTTATAATGGATGCCGCTTTCGCACTGATAAACATTTCGTAACTGACGCTATACTAGGAACATGAAAAAGAGGGGAGGAAAGAGACAGGTTATCTCATTCCTTCCCTCTTTTTTTAATGTTCAAAGCCAGTTACGAGATGTTCAGCAAACTAAGCCACCAACTCGCCCAAAAGCAAGCTTCAAGTAATCCCACTGATAGTTTCTTCGTAACTCGCTTTCGGGCATACGTTTAAGACAATGCACCGTATTCGAGAGGTATGACCCCTACAGAGACACTGCTAAGGCGGCGAGCGTAGGCCTAAGCATTCCACGATGCGCCGCTGGCATGTCTTGTCCTAGGGTATGGAAAGAAAAAAAAAACCGAAGAAAGGAAAGAACAGGAGAGCTAATGAGGCGTAGAAGTTCGCGTGTTCTTTTCTTTGTCCACGTTTAGTGTCCAGTACGAGAGTACAGTAACGACGTAAGAGCGAGCTCTCCGTTGATGCTGTCTTGCTCTTGAACTCTTCAGCTGCGCAGTCGCGACAGTGCGCTTGCGTGCAACATAGAGTGTATATAGTGATGCGCATCGGTTGTAGGCGGACTCGTAAAAATCCGTGCGGCGTGCTTCCTCCCCGCAGTCGGCCGACATGCCGGACAACGACGAAAACGGATGCGCCGAGGAGCCCGCGTCGACCGAAGAAGACAACCTCGACCTGTTTCAACGCAAGATCAAGACCGAGAAAGGTGAGTTGGGGGACCTGATCTTCGGGAGCTTTAGGATTACCAGGAGGGGCGTAGTCGGTTGAAATGGTTGTGCAACTGTCTTCCGGTTGATCTAAACCTGAGTACGTTCCTGCGGATCTAGGATAATTAGACTCCAAGATATATCAAAGCTCCTACTGCAGTTTTTGCGTTGCATGTATACTTGATCCCCTAAACCTGTGTCATATTAGGGCTATGTGTTCTCTAACGTTCTTGATACAGAAAATCTTTATACACCATTTCGAATGCCTTGCTCGTTTTTGTTTAATTTTTACTCAAGTACAGTAGTCATTTGCTTGATATTTACTTGTTGGGCCATTTCTTGCATGGTCCACTTGGAGTTCTGCAGTAAACGTAAATGAATGAAAATTCATATGAACTATTATCTGTCTTTGAGGGAGGGTCGTACTTTCAGTCCAATCGAGAAAGTAAAAATACCATAGTGTATCTATAGAACTGCAAATTTTAATACCGTGACCAAGTTTGCTGTCTACGTGTGCACATTATGTAAATAAATGTATTGTAGAAACATATCCCCGCTACACTATTATACATAAACCATGCGGTATTCTAAGATTAAACAAGTGTTTTCCAAGTTCTCAATTTTCTTTGTTATGGTAAACAAACACGAAGCATTTAACAAATATATTTGGTGGTTCACTATTGACTCTATGTAATCTGTGGCATATCGTTGTACAGCTTTAGGTAATGCTGATAATTTCTACAACAGAAGGAATACAGCAAGCTAGGTTAAGCAGCACAACGTTCAGAATGGCTTTTAAAGGCTCTTAAGAGCTGGGGCTTTTTTGTAGCTTATTTTTTTGGACGGGATACAGTAGAGCATTATTATTATTATTATTATTATTATTATTATTATTATTATTATTATTATTATTATTATTATTATTATTATTATTATTATTATTATTATTATTATTATTATTATTATTATTATTTACCGTAATGTAAATAGATTCACTGTAACAGGGCCCAATGCACAGAATATCGCGAATTTAATCCGCTTCATGGCAGCTATATGTTTTGTTAAAAAAGGCAGGACAAAGTATACCTTCCGGCAGACTGCTCCGTTTTTTTTATGTCAACGTATGCGTTATTATTTGTAAACTGAGCCATAAAGTGTAATACTAATTGAAACGCAAACAAGAAAAGAACGCTGACTTAAATGCCTGCTATGCGTAATTGTGCGAAGGTTCTACGTACAATGAATTCATAGGCATTTTTTTATTGATAGGATGTAGTATCTGACGTACGTTCTGGAGCCTAACTTAAGCCACTGTTACAACATGTAGGCGCATTTGCAAACTCGGCGGGATACCGAGCTGGCGCTTGAGATCAGGGCTGGTATACACCTGGAATAAACCAGGTTAAAAGACACAAGATACATCAAAGACACAGGTAGTACAAGGTTGTTATTTACAAGTTCCAAGAATACAGACATAGGATTCCAACCGACCACTTCAAAGTAGCATTGTATCTAATTGTGAATTCAATCCTTAATCTTTCGTTTTGCTTGTTCTAGCTTCGTCGTTCATATTTTACTTTTCATCAATCGGGACCTCGTAGGTTGAATTTTCTGCACAACGTGTAAGATTAGTGTCAAGTCAGCTAACAGTGTTCTTCCGACTTGCACGCTTTGAGCCCACCCATGTTTTCGAAACGTGCTACTTGGAGATAGCAGTGTGGCTTTGCTGCCTCGCTCACTAGGTCAACAGAAAGCCATCTTTACAGAGTTGAACTGTTAGGCGATTTGGAACACTTGATGTATGTACGCTACTTCGAATGTGACTTGTTGATATCAAAGTTGAGCAGAAGAGCCTAAAAAAGAATAAAAAGAATGTGCACTTTAGAGCACAAATTGTAGGAAAATTATTATCGTGTGGTAATAAAAATATACTTACTAAATAGAACACGAATGAAGGAAAGCAAGGAGAAAAGCAGCACTTGTGGCTGTCAGTAGTTATTCTTGTCTGTCATGTCATGGCTATGTACATCATTATATCTCAATGAGGTCTTAAAGCGGCTGGGATTCAGTGCACGCTAACACACAGCCACGAGCATCATCTCTTGTGCGCTGTAGTACAACATACGTAGTGGTTCAAATGACCAAGCTCCTCTCTTTTATTTCAGTTTTATCCTCTTTTTCATTTTTCTATCACAAAGAGAGTTCTCAAACCAGAAACGCCCCTTCTCCAGCTGCACTTTGCGCTCTCGCAAACCATCGTTAGTAACTCGATCATCATCTGTCCCAATTAGTTGGCATACGTCATGATTAGCGACGTCGTCACCGATGTGGAATAAGCCACTCTGTCGTTGAAGCTTTGTCCAGCCCTGACTGGGAAACTCTCTGCGCGCTCGCGTGCACACACCCACGACACAGCGCCGGGTCCGGCTAATCTGCAGTTACGATATGAAGGGACAAATGGGACGCGAGTCGTGGAGACAGTTAGTGGAGCAACGCAGCGGAGAAAACAAACGGCACCCCCGGGAATGGAAGAGACGCACTGCCTCGCTCTTTGGACGCAGGCAGCGGAAGGCAGCGACAAAAGGAGAGGAGAGAGTCGATGTGTTCCCAAGTGCGCTGAGCGGCGCAGGGAGGCAGTCCGGAGGATGGAGAGCTCACGTGACCGCCATGGCTCACGTGATGCGCCCGGCGAATGCCGGGAAGACGAGGTAAAAAAAGCAAGACAGCGCACGCAGGCGCAGGCTTACGCTCGCGGCCGCATGGCGGCAGGAGAAGCCTCCCCTTCAGTGAAGCTCGCTCGAAAGGGAGAGTCCCATCACATACAGACACACAGGCACGCTGACTCGCTCGTCGCCGCGGCTCGCTGAGAAGCGCGAGCTTTTTTAGAAGCGGAATCCTTTGGAGCATTGAGGTCTGCGCTGTGCTTTTGCCGTCATCCGCCGCTGCAAACATTCCGTCCTCAACGCACCTATGCTGGAATTCTTCGCGTGACGACGGAATACCGTGCGGCGATTGTGACAGCGACGTTGCCGGGTGTAACAGACAGTTGGTGGTATAGCGCGCGGAAGAAAACATCTCCGACGCTCGGAATTTCGTCTGCAGCAGCCGGAGCAGAATACAGCGCCCGGTACTCTCATACCCACGGCTCGGAAGGTGCGCTGTGTGCAACGCGTGTTCTTTGCGTGCACATGCTGCTACGACTGCTCTCGAATCAAAGTCACGGGTAGACGGGCGTTCGTTAACTGAAAGCCAAGCAGCGCGGCGACGAGCGCGGGCTTGTTTCGAAACACTCATCACTCATGCACGCTTGCAACGGATGACGCGATCTCTTCGAGCTCTGTACCAACCGGACATTCCACGCATCGCCAAGGGTAAACAGCGCTTCGGCTTGCCACAGTGTCGTCTGCTTTTCTCGTTGCTAGCAGACGTTCCTTCCCCGTAATCGCTTTGAGCTTGAGGCGGACCTTTTTTTTTTCATCGCTTGTTCGTTGACAACGTACAACCTGCGGTAAGTGGACCACCTATTGCAAACCCGTGATGTGGGAAAACGCCTCGCAGCGTGCTACACGGTGAATTTGTGCTGTTCGTGAAATGCGCGAGGTGGCGGCGTCGGCGACAGCCTGTGCGCATTCCTCATCCTGAAGTTTTGGCCGGTTGTGTTACAGTGAGGGGCCTACAGTGTCCTTCGATCGTCAACATGCATCGCAGACGGCCCCCTGCCATCCCTCCTCGACCAGTGTTTTCTGCGAATTATGGCGGTGCCAGCGCGGGTCCTTCGCGACGTGGAGGCTTCGTGATCCCTGCGCTCGACGTAACTGACTACGACGATGAGGACGGCGAAGAGGAGGAGGTGGCAGGAGGAGGAGAGGACGAGGAAGAGGATGAGGATGAGCCCTACGACGAAGACGACTACGAGCGCGACAGGTGGCGTTGGCGAAGTCAGGACGACGAACTCGTGCTCGACGAATGTGAGTGCCTTCAGTGCACGCCACTCAAATGGGCGTGTTCAAAAAAAATTAGGGGGTAGAGAGGAATGGAGGTGTTACAAGATGTAGGGTATAGCACAGTACTTAGGTAGAAGAAGTAGTGTCTTAACCTCCTATTGTCCTATCACGCCTGATCCTTTGAATGATAACTACATCACAATTGCTCAATGAGAAGAGTACACATGATCCGAGTATGAGGATTTCGAATGACCTCGTACTGTCAATAACGCTTCAAAAAGTTCCCCATTCCAAAAAAAAAAAAGAGACAGCTATTTTCGCGAACCACATGAAACAGACACCGCTTCATCCATGATTAATTTTATTGGAACATGCACAAGCTTTCTCGGCAAACGTTATTCCGTTTTTGTAGACCACGATTTTTTTAAGTTAGCCTCTAAATATTTCTTTAGGTATTTTTATTTGCCCTTTTCATTGAGAATTAACCATACCTTGTAAGTGGTGTATCATAGCCCGGTAGCACTTGTGCCATAATGCCCAACCGTCTAACCAGCTAATGAACTATAACTGCTGCCTAGAAGTCAATTAGCCAGTACAATTACGTACTTTATTCTAAGCTGGATTTAATGCGTTTGTCGGTAGTCTGTATTACAGGATCTAACATAAATGTCTAAGAGTCACAGTTAAATTCGAAATAGCGGTGGCACAAAGGTAGGGCTACGCAATCTAAATCTGCAACTATCAATGTGAGAAATAATAAACGCATCATCTCGACAGCACATTAGACGGGCAATTTGTCAATGGGGTGGAGAACAGAATAATTCCGCGATCTTTGAATAATTCAATATCCTAATTTATCTGGAGTAAAGGAAACATTAGCGTGAAATTTGTCATTACGCTTTAATTGCCACAACTTTAACAACGCTTCACAGTTTTTGCATTTCCATCTGAGGATCAGTGGCCGAATTCGCTAAACTTTTCTCACCTGCTTTTTCTCATAAATCATTCGGCTTCGTTGATGATAAGTTCTGTATCGTGATTGACTGAAATATTCTCTTACGAAAAGGTTTAGCGTAAGACGTTTTTGTGAACACGTCTCCTGCCCGCAGACAAACGCGCAAGTGCGATTGAAAGCACGGTCACACCTAATCCGGATCTGCTTAAATGCTGCAGCTATATCGAAATCGGACGAAAAATGTCCAGTTTGTTGGCTATATCTGAAATTATTAGCGGTACCTGATTAATAATGTATTAATAGAAAATGCACAAATGTTGTCAATATAATAAATTAAGGGCAGCCTCAAACTGCTTCTACGATGCAATGATATGTTAACTAAATGCATACAAAACGGGCAAATCAGCCAGGTTTTATGTAAAAGAATTGATTTCGCAGCAGCACTTGCCGTATTCGATCAAATCAAACTGCAGAGCCAGCACGTATACAGAACCAGTGTAACGAACGGGGCGAAGTTGAGGGCAGGTAAACATCGTGCTGTACTGTCAAACCTTTGTTTGACAGTACAGCGCTGAACGAAGTCAAACCTTTGTTTGATTTCGTTCAGCTCTTGACGCTTTCATTCTCGTTTCAGTTGTGTTATAGCCGGCCTACTTCCACTGAAAGTTCTGACGAAACACTTTTTTTTTGCCTTTAGTTATCTTTCATGTTAATTTCGTCTTTCCCTACCGGCTTAGCCCCCCCTCCCCCCTTTTTGTCTCTTATTTAGGCTTGTGCTGTGCTTATTTAAATGCGCTGACTAACGAGCATTCCGAAGCTGTTATTGCTAACTGAGCAGACCAAACACTCGCGGCTTTTCACCAGATATGTGCTGGCATTATTTTACGAAGTCACAGTGTTAGCCAATGAATTGAATAGTTCTCATGCAAAAAGCAGTGCAAAAAATAATAATAAATAAATAAAACGGCCCCACCATGGTGGTCTAGTGGATAAGGCACTCGGCTGCTGACCCGCAGATCGTGGGATCGAATCCAGGTGGTGGCAGCTGCATTTTTGATGGAGGCGAAAATGGTGTAGGTGCGTGTGCTTAGATTTAGGCGCAGGATAATCAACCCCAGGTGGTCGAAATTTCCGGAGCCCTCCACTACGGCGTCTCTCATAACCATATGGTGGTTTTGAAACGTTAAACTTTACTTACATATCAATCAAATCCAATAAATAAAAAAGACTTAATAACTAAATGCGAGTTCCATATATAACTTGTAAGTGTGAAGTTATACGAGTAGTTAAAATAAGAGCATTTATGCCGTGTTTACAACTACATAAATTTGTCAGAGGAATATACGCCAACATTACCCGCTCTTTCTACAGTCGGATGTCATTTAACTAGAAACGTCTTTTGTACTGTCATCTATCTAGGCAGCTTTTACCTCTCCACAGCAGCTTGACATGTCGTGCTTTTTCAATCAGTCAGTGATTTTTCTCGAGCAGAGGCCAGACACATTAATTAGCATTATTCCCAATCAATCAATCAATCAATCAATCAATCAAACAAACAAACAAACAAACAAACAAGCCCACAAAAAAGTGGCTTAGAGATGGGATTTAGTTTTTACCGATGCAATGAGTGAATGAATTTGATTTACAGAAGCATTTACTACTATTAAATAGAAGTGTGCGAGTAATCGAAAATTTGAAATGACAAATCCTGTTTGATTTGCTGCTCAAATCGAATAGTAAGTATTCGAAGTGCCGAATAATTTTCAAATAGTTTTTGAGAAGTTTTTGAATAATCAGTGCTGACGGAAGGGCCCCAATGCCACGAAGTTTTGTTAGAAATAACAATCATTTTTTTAAATTCTCAAATTATCAGTGCGCGCGTGTTTTTTGTGATTGCCGACGTAATTTTTTTAGAGATAAAGGCGTTTTTCTTTCTTTCTGAAAGCTCCTCTCCCAATCTAAGTGTATGCATAGCCTGGTGCTGCTGCACCGCATTAACCAGGCAGTTTCTGTGTTCGTCTTGTAGGGACCAAAGTTGGCGAATACGACGGCATTCGGCTTCATGAATGACCACAGAAGCAAGTGTTGTGTTTTCGTAAATGGCTCCTGCAGATAGAGCTTTGAAATGTTAACATGCTTTTGGATGTCGAGCTCCATGTTGCGAAGACATGTTTGTCTATTTCGTTATAGCTCTAGCTGTATTCGCGGTGTGCGGTTCAAAATTTCATTGCTTAGTTTTTTTTGTTTTTCAACTTTATATGCAGGTGACAGTTGACAGCTGTAGTCACTGCAGTTTACCTCAGTTATCATAATTGAAGTATTGAGAATTGGTTAAAAATAACCGTGATGTATTTTGGTATCCCCCGAAATTGCACAAAGTGGTATAGGTAAATTTACACTGTGCTTGCGATATTATGACTGCTATGGGTGAGTACCCAGGTAAAAGGAATACAGATGGCGATGTTTCCTTGTAATCAAATTACAGGACAGGATAACCTAAGGCTCGTAGATTGGGATGACGTTTACACACACACACACACACACACACACACACACACACACACACACACACACACACACACACACACACACACACACACACACACACACACACACACACACACGCACACGCACACACACACACACGCACACACACACACACACACACACACACACACACACACACACACACACACACACACACACACACAAACTTTTTTAATGATGCCTCTTCTGATGAATGTGCTTGCTTGAATAAGGGGATACTGCAGCTTACGCCCGTAATGACAACAGAAACAGAGGAAGAAATAAAGAAGACGAGGTGCATAATGGCACAAAACTATAAGGTGAATCTTGCGCAAAGGTCAAACATTACGTCAGACCTGGTGTGAAACGGCAATTCCTTATCTAATATGGGTTAAACACTTTACGGACTTCAATAGCTTTGCACGTTCCACGCTCTTCTGTAAAGATTTTGAACGCAAAATATATTAAGTCATATATTTCTTTATCTCTCTCTCTCTTGTTGGAGCTGTGAAGATTGAACATAAAATCTAGGTGATCATGCAGGTTGCTCAGCTTCTTTATAACGTTTTACTGAAACTTCCCTATCTACACTGCAAGGACGCTATTAAACGTGGCCTCACGTCAGTGGATTTTAATGCAGCAGAATCAATAAAGTAAATGTTGAAACATTAAATGCTATTAGTACCACGTACATAGCTCAGATATACTTGCACCACGATTCAGACTTACTTCCTGATGATAAACGTTTCTATGTTTTATAGTTCTGATAATTTAGTATATTTTGTTTTGGTATAATAATTAAGGACACTTGAAAAAATGGCTACGGAAAATATTGTAGAACAAACTATTGACAAAACGAGTAACAAAAACGTTGAGATGACAGAAAAGAAATCTGGAACAGTGTGTTCACCTGCCTTTTTTTTTCATATGAATCTTTTTTTTTTCTTGTTCGCCTCGAAAATAGATATATGCGCTAGATATAGGGAAACCATCCTTCCGCACACTAAACGCATCGACATTTCCTTTTGATGGTGAGTGAAGCTAGGTACCGTATTCACTCGATTGTAACGCGACCACAATTGTAATGCGAGGGGTGTCTTTTTGTTGCGTCCAGGAACGAACAACAGTTATTCCGGTATTCGATTGTAACGTGAGGGTCGACTTTAAATGTTTAATAAAATTTCGAGGAGAAAAAAAACGAAAAAAAAAAACGCGATACTTTCGATAAAGTATGGCACTCCGTTTCGGGGGCACAAATGTCGATTCGTACCTGAAAGAAACGAACAAGGACGACAATAAGAGAAAAGAAAAGGAAAGAACAATGTGTGTTTAAACGACTCCGAAGGAGAGAGACACAGTGTAAGCTGTTCTTCGAAGCCGAATCAACTCAGAGCCGCCCGAAGCGCATCTGTCTTCTCCGTACTTAAGCTTGTCCGAGTGCGCGCGCACGAGTGAATATAGAGAAAGGCGAAGCGAGGGCTTCTCTCAACGTCGTCGTCCCGTGCACATGTGCGGCCCTTCCCAGAAAAAGGAGGCGCTGAGG